AACTTATAGTATTGTTTTTATATAATATATAAAAGTGTAATAATAAATAAAATATTCGATGAAATTAGCGATAAAATCCGAATAATAAGTAATTTGTCTAGTCTCTATAAGCTTTATAACTAATATATTAATAGTATATCAAGATTAGTTTTATTAAAAACAATAGATTTGTTATATAAAAAAAGTATTTTGTAGATTTAGTAGATATTCAGTTACTTCTAAACTTTCTCTAATATTATAATAATTAATTTTTTTAGATATTTATAATATCAATTATAGTTTAGTTTATTAATATTATTTTCAATATATATTAAATCAAGATCTAGATTATTAATCGAATTATTATTATATCGAAAAAATCAATAAAGATTTATATTACGAAATAAGATATACTTCCTTTTTTTCGAGATCTAAATTTTAATTTATATTTTTAGAATTATGAATTGATCAGGATAAATTGTTAACATTTAAAGTGTTCCCACCCTTCTTTAGCTTAACTCCTTTGTTTAGAAACTTTTTCCTTATTTAGTAACTAGTACATTTACGGTATGTTATTATATTTCCCCTTTTAGAAACTATATTTGAACAGATTATTTCCCAATCGATAGATATAAAGCCCATAAAAGTTACGATGTTATTCAGTCTAGAAACTGGTTGGTTCTGTAAGCTTTGTCTCCAGGATAATAACATGTTATGAGCTTCAGGATCCCGACACAGTAACCAAATGGCCCCGATACGGCATGTCACTTAAGCTCCGGGATATTTTTGGGGGCTTCCAAGGCATACAATAGGAAGAGAGAAACTGGTGGGCATGCACGAATGGTCCGAGTCTCTACATGTCCAGAAAACCTTTACGGTCCGAATCACTATATGAACAGGAAACCTTCAAATAGTCGGCGATATTGTTCCTGCTTGACCTTACCAAAGGCAGAAGTGAACCGAAAAAGACTTTGATTTATTTTTGCCCTACAAAAACGTATTACTTCTTGATAATTTGTTAATATATATAAACTATTCCTCCTTTACATTTGTTTTCTTCAACCTTACTATCACCACTTTTTATATAACTTTACTATTACTACTACAATCTTTCTGTTTTCAATTATTATTCTTTCTC